CACAGGCGGGCTCCTAAGCTAAGACGAGAGTCGATCAACAGGGTGAAAGAAAGCGTTGGTCCTACGGAGCCCTGAACCCTTAATCCACAGGCCTAGTAGGGGTTTAAGGTCAGAGGGTCATCAAGACTTCACAAAACGCTGTAGCTTTTGAGTAGCGGCGTCATTCTCCCTCAACCTTCAACTCTGAAGTTGCCGTCGGAGGGTTCTGGAGGGCTTTAAGCTCCTGAGTTCCGGGGCTTGGGGAGTTGGGGCCCGAACTCCACGGCCCAAAGCCCCTTCAACGTCATTGCAGCTTCAAGTCTACGTTCGAGCTTTCGGGTTTTCATTCAAAATAGAGAGAGGCCCTTTTGTCATTAGCTTTCTTATTGTCAGCATTGTTCGTATACTTACTCGTTCACTTTATTATCATTGTTTCGCCGAAGGGCTTCACTTTGAAGGGCGATGGGTGGCTATTCCCTTCTTATGAAACAGGTGACGCACAAGGACAGACATGGGCCGGTGTGGACCCCGCTGTGAATCCTAGCTGCCACACTCTTCAAAATCCGAGAATACCTGCACTTTTAAGCCACAGCACCTGCATGCTCTCTGTTGACGGCAAAAACGCCGAGTCTCTGAGGTCGCGAAGGTTGCAGGGCTCAGGGAGTTCCCGTGGACCCCTGGACGGGTTCGTGATGTTTCAAGTTCGACATCCGAAGCTCTGAAATTCAAGAGATCGGCTCTTTGCGAGCCATAGATCTTCTGTGCTGTGCCTCCGCGCAAGGTGCAAAGGCAGAAGAAGGTTTACGAGTCCCTGTCCGACGTCATGCCGACTTCTCGGATTCCGGATTTGCAGTGCTGGCATGAGCTCGGTTAGGTGGGGAGTTGGGACTGCGGCTGCTTGCAGATGCCACGTACTTAATGTGGGACAGTTGTTTTGCCGAACTATTAAGTATGGCCGGTGCCAATGTCCGTGGTGCACTCGTGTGCAGTACCACGTCCCAGAGGGCCAGAGAGTACTTATGTATCCTTGCGCAGCTTATGCTTGTTCACAGGTCTTGAGCACGTCATGTGTGGAAAGATGTGTTCCCATATTTATGATGGTGTTGGCTTGACTTGAGGGTTCCGTGCGCTTGGCTTACCTTCGGGTACGTGTAGGTTCATGCTTTTCATAGGGAATTCTAAACCCGAGAAATTCGAAAAACTTTTCGCAGGTCTGGCAGGCTCATACGGTTTTAGGGGACGTGTCAGGGAGTGTCCCAGGGGGGTTCAAGGTTTCAGGGGGGAGGGTGTGCAAGGAAGGGTTCCTGGTCGGGGGGTCCCAGGAGAGGTTCCAGAGGGCCAAGTAGTTTCTTGCAATTTTGGGCGCTGCCTCTGTAGCAGACGCCGACACGCGGGACCCCCAACAGCATTGGCCTCTGGCTCCTCGGGGAGGGGGGGGGGTCAGTAAAATCAGTGTGGAGCCCTGGATCCTGGTCTGCTTCAATTACCTTCTGTCCCAAATGAGGCCATAACTAGCTAATTACACACAATTCCAGTCAGACATTGAACACTACTTCTGGGCACCCGGGTAAGCAGTTGAGGTCCGATCAGGTTTAAGATTCAATGTCGAATCGGTTCCGGTTTCCTAAGCATGCCTTTGCCCCTGCGCACTAATATTACTTCAAGTCATGTCAGTTGCATAGCCCCATTGAGCAAACACATGAAACCGAAAATCAATGCCCGCTTCCAAGCCGCGCAAGAGGCCTCGGATTCACGCGCTGTCCCTAGTGACGCGCACTCCTGAGGAGGTCGGAGGGGACGGACAATAAAGCCTTGAAGGGTTGCAGGGCTTACGGGTCTGTAGGTAGCAATCACACAAGGATGGGATTCGGTGCATTGTCGCAAGAAATGCTTAGTAGTTCGGGTAAGGTTCTCAGTTGCTAAGTGTGTCCAGTCAGACAGCCATATTGTACATAGAGATGGGCCCGTAGCCCCTGCTACACCCTAAGCCATACGGTTTAGAAGTTTAGTGCTTGGTAGGTTTGGTAGGCCAAATGAAGCAATTTCATTGGGTTTAATGTTATGGGCTCGGCTGCATCTCATATCTGAGAAGCTAGCGCTGGGAACACACAGCACGCATGCCACATGCCAAGATAGGTGTCCTCGATCTGGAGACTTCAGGGAGGTTGTGTGAAAGTAGGTTAACCAACCAGCTCTTAAGCGCTGAAATGGTTCGTCATGCTTTGTGCAAGACGCATGCAGCGCGCGAAAGCAGATGTCTGCAGCTGCGCCATGAACAACTCTGCATGGGGTCGAAGGAGAAGGTCCAGGAGCCCACCAGTGTGGGGTTCGGGTTTAACATCGGAACCATGAACACAATCTGGGGCAGTCTGGATTCAGTTCAAGTCCCAAGAACGTTGTTAAAATGAGCTTGTGCCTCTGGACCTACAATCCTGCCTCATAAACACTCACCATTCGAAGAAAAAGAGGCGGTCATCTGTTGCATGCAGGCATAAAGAAAATCGAGATATTCTTCGGATTCTGACTGACACTTACAAGCGTCCCATGATTGACACATATTTTACGCTTATATGATCCACTAATTCTGGAACCTACACGAAAAATTTCCCTATAAAAGGCTACGGGCTCGACCCCTATTTTCGCTCTGCGGCCGCCTTGTCGGATGCCCCGCCTCCTCTTCCGGTCCATTTGGCTCTTGAGTTCAGGGTTTAAGGGTTTTACGGTTGCGGTTTAGGGTTTTGGGGTTTAGTAGAAGTTGTATAGGGTTTGTGTCCGTGGTTTTGTGGTGTTTTGGGGGGTTTTGTTTTTTGCTTTTGTTGTGATGATTTGGGTGAGCTGAGGGGTTGGGGTTGCGGGGCTGCGGCTGAGGGGTTGGGGCTGAAAGGCTGGGATTTTGGGGGGTTTTGTTTTTGCTTTTGCTGTAATGTCGGGTGCGGTGGGGGGTACCTAGGCCGATCTGCTCAGAATGCTCCAACAGCCCTCGCGAAATGACATCACACCAGAGCACTTGCGGGCCTCGGAAATTCGATGGCGGGCAATTTAAGTGGAGGGAGAGGATTGCCCGCCACAAAATGCGCAGAACCACGTCGGGTTTCGTAGAACCACACCGGAGTTTCGAGAACCGCCCTTTGGGTTCGCAGACCTGCCTGCGCTGTTTACCTACACTTTTCGCAACCAACGTCCACTGATCACCAGAAAATGTTCAATCTGTGGTCGAGCCGTTGGCGCCCTCTAAATTCGTAGGACTTGCACGACTTGCCTCTCCTCGTTGCACATGACCTCCTTTAATTTCTACGCGCAGAGCAGCTAAGGAGTCGTTCGCCGTTTATCTGCGTGAGAAGTGTCTGGTGCCAAGCGTCTGAATCTGAACTCTGTTTGCCGGCTGTGGCGCTCTCGCGCGTGCTGGCCGAGGCAACTGGTTCCACGACAGCAGTGTGTGGCAGAGAGGTGTTGCAAGCATGGATATTCAAGTCTCACCCAGATGAGGCTCATCTGGCACGGCATGTGAAGGCCTTCTGAGACCGGAGCCCCAATGCTTCCTGTAGCTGCATGGCTGGCCCAAGAGAGCCAAAACGAAACGCACGCAGCAGACCGCAAAAGAACCTTCTCTGCATTCTGCTGCATCCTTCAGCTACATGCCCTGTGATGTCGCAGAAGAAGTGCAGCCATTATGGGGGCTGGTCCCGTGGACCTCCGCGTGCGTCGGCGCTCCAGGTTCCAGTTACTGATTATCACGAGCCCCATTTGGGGCGCGGCTTGGCAGGCATATGTTTGTTTCGCTTTCTGGGCAGGTTAAGGCGCAGTAGATGCAAGAATCGCGCGTGACATTTTTACACAGTAGCCATATGAGTCTGGCGGCGCTGCCGGGGGTTGAAACATGGCAGAGCCGACCAAGGTGTGCCACAGCTGCCACGGACACAATGTAGTCTTAGTTACCAAATATCTCGAAAGCAGTTGTTTTGGCAACTGGGGAGCTTACGCGCCGATTTTGCAGGCTTGATGTATGATGTGTGAGAACGCATTAAGTGTATGTTCACGCATTTTGAACGCAGAATGCCATTTGACTCTTTGACGCTTGACACCAGCCGTATGATGTGAACGGAGTGTGGGTTGGCTCGTTCTGCGTTGCAGGGTAATTCGACTGAGTACAGGAATGCCACGGGTCGTTTCGGTTCTTGGGCAGGTTGAACTGATTGCCGGCTCGATTCACGCGTTTCCGGTTTTCCTTCCGACCGCCCAGGCCCGGGCCTCTTCATCCCAGCCTGGGGTCAAGGGCTCATGGGGTGCATATAGGATCATATAGGCTCATATAGCGGTGTGCGGGTAAGAGGTCGAGCGCAGGGTGTGGGAGATGTGGGCAATGTGGGGGGTGGGAGTGTAGGGCTGTTGGGGTCTGTGTGTGAGATGCACCAAGTGCGACACAATTGCCGAAGAGCGTAGCAGCGTGCGCCACATCGAACCAGCCTCATCATCAAAGACCTCAAAGACGGGCTGCATCATGATGGCTAGCAGCTCGCAAGCACGCGAGTCACCAAAGGCAAAGCTACAGCTACGGATACAGCTGCGGAGGCAACAGGCAGGCACAAACTGAATGCCTGAAGGCTCTATCGACTCAACGAAGAATCGCAATTTATGTCAGTCTGAGCTGCGGCTCAGCAAAACCACTAAGAGACAGCGGTGACTTTAGGCTCATACATTCGTCTTTTGCGCTAGTTTCAAGTTTAGTGGTTACAGTCAAGAGTCAGCCGTGTATGCATCGCATAGTCGCACTGCGTTGCCACGAATACAATCGACGACTGCACGCAAAGGCCCATTTTGACCACTGCGCTGGGAGGTTCCTTTCGCGTCCAGCTCGCAGGAACTGCTGCCAAGAGGTTCACGCTCCGGCATCCTAGTATGTCTACAGGGCGCTGCGGGAATTGGCCTGCTTGTTCTGCTCCAATGATCTCCTCTGGTTGGCCGAAGGCCCAGTACAGATCCAGGGATGAGGTCGCAGAGTAACCCTCCATTCGCTAGCAGCTTTATGTGCAGCTCGGACACGCCTGAAAGCAATCTTGCAAAGCCTTGCTTACCATCTTTTTTGCAGCAAGCCCAGCATGCCAAGCGTCGGACGCTGACTGGCAAGCCCCAGTCAACAAGATGCGTGCTCGCATGCGGTGAATTTCACGCTTCTCATCTGGGGGTAATGCCCACCTGAGCTCTTCGATAAGTGGCCACACAAAAGGGTGCAGCGCCGCATCATTCTCGACGAAGACAGTGAGCGCCTTCCTTGCATTGCTGCGGCAAACATCCCCGTTCCCAGGCTTGCAGGCTTCCACTAACTCCGCGGCGCAGGCTTTGTTGAACCTTCCCAACAAGTGTGGCCCGCATCTGGATAATTCGCCACATATGTCTGCACGGTCGTCGTCATCTGCGTGCTGCAACCAGTAGATCATGTCCCGAGCAAAGAGGTGTCGAATTGATTTAACTGCGGGACCCTGGCCCCGAATCGAAAACAAGCAGCCGGCACAAACAGCCATGATGCGCTGGGCATTATTTGCAATTTCCGGTTCTGGATGACAGCAATGCGACTTCAGGTTCTTGGCGACTGGCAGCATGATGGTAGGTTCCATCTTTCGCCACTTCTTCAAGGCCCGGAAGAAGGCCCAAATACCTACAAGCATCAGTTGGGACAGGACATCAAAACGCGCAATTTCGCCCGCTGCCCTGAATCCTGCCCGGCCTTCCTTGCCTGCTTTCAGGGTCGAACCTTTCCAGCCAAGGTCGTCCCAGAACCGCTCGCTGCGGTTGGTTTCTTTGCACCACTCGCCGGCGGCGGCGAACACGTCTGGCCTCGAGCACGGCACGCACGGCATGTTTGGGCTCCCAGGACAAAAAACGGGCACCTCTCCGGCTGCATCAAACACAGGAGGTGCGAGATCAAAGCCTGACAGCACAGGAGTATGAGTAGGGGTTGATGTTGTTTCATGCTTCGGCATGTTTGGGGTGCATATGCTTACTACGTAGGACAAACGGTGAAAAAAAACTACAGCAAGTTTACAGCCTCCTAGCTGAGCCTTGAAATCATGTGTGTATGTTTTTCTTATTTTGGGAAGGCCTCCGGCGCACTCCTGCCCCGAACTCAAAAGGCGCCATCGGGTCAAAGGGGTTCTCAACTTGGAAAGCTCTGAAAGCTCTGAGCCCAAAAGCATCACCCTAAACTCCAAACTCACAACCGACCAAGGTCTGCCAAAGGCCTCAACCTCCATTTTAAATGGGGCTTTGGAGACTGATGGGTCTGGAGCTTGCTTCACGCTTCGGACTTGACACTCTGTGCGGCAGCCACCAGCACGGTTCCCGTGGCCTTCTTGTGCAAAACGCTCCCAACGCTGCTGCCGGTGGCGCGGAGCTGCGTGTAGCCCTGCACCTGTGACGGAAGCGAAAGGCATCGCACACGCTGCCTTGGGCAGGAATTGAGCCGTTGCAATGAGTTATTCGGCCCACCTGGAGATATGGCGACAGCCTCTGCAAAAGCCTGATCACTCTTGTTTTGGTTTAAAAACGCGACGAATGCGGAAAGCGTCGTGAGCATGCACAAGCAACCCTTCTGGGCATGTGGCCCAGGGAACAGTGTCAGCTGGAGCGCAGAGTTGCCTGCCTGCTGCCAGCGTTTCCAGCACTTCCCCAGGTGGGCCAAGCTTCATTCGGGTTTCCTGCCTCGTCCCGGTATTTCTGCGCCGAAACCTCTGAGGATGCTGGGATGAGTCTCTTGGACTGGGGATATAATATCATAGAATCTCGGTCTTTACATCGCAGGGCACATTGCAACATCCTTTCTTGAACCCGGAGCTGAGGCATCCTCAAGGTGCATGGAACTCCACTTGGAGAACCAAATGGGCACTTAGAAACGGGCACTTAACACGCAATTATAGTTGTACTTGCAACCGAATGATAACCATTTTGGGGGACTTAAGGGGTTTATAATTGGGTTATACGTAACTACCGTGAACTCCAGGTGAAATCTCCGCCGATGCCTCTTGGCCCGACCCAGGGGGGACGGAGCTGCCCGCGTGGCGTTGGATCCGGCAGGTTTGTTTTTGCCGCTTTCTCGCCCTCCTCTGCGCTCTGCCCCCGCCCCCCCGCCCCCCGGCCCCACCGCCTCCCCGCCCCACCGACCCCCCCGCCCCCCCACCCCTGGGCCCCCCCCACCCCCAACACCCCCGCCCCGATGGGGCGCTGGTTGGACGCGCTTTATCCGGCAGAACTGGTGGTTGCCAGTGCAATGCCCTGCAAATCCCAGGGATGGCCTCCGCAAGTACATCCAAAAAATCTAGAACCGATTGCTCTACTCCCTAGTAAAAACAATATTCTTAAAATTCCCTTGGGTTTACACAAATAAAAATAAAAATCATAAGGGGACTAAAAAGATTAATCAGAAAGCACTTCCAGCGCAAAGATCTGGCCCAGCACAACAAGGTAAGACATGAACTGTTGTATGGTAGTGGTGTGCATGCTCTGTACGCCCATCTCCTTGTCTAACCAAAGGATTCGCAGATCCCTGTAAGCAAAACCATTTGGTCCCCCAGCAGACTGACGATTAAGAGATAACTTCCAGGAACTCCAGATCAACTCATACTCAGATGTAAACGCTTCCGTGTAGATGATTCGTCTCATGACGCTCCATGCTGAAGTCATGGATGTATGAATCGAAAACGCACTTAACGGCTCCGATTCCACGACTGCCTCCAGGAGTTGCGGCGCTGCCGAGAGCTGCCGAACAGGCGCAGAACACTGCGGCGCAGCCTGCGGGAGAGACGGATCTCTAAGAGCTCTAGACATCTCTAGACTCTAGCAAGGCCTGCACAAACTCCCCGAACTCAACATCATCAAAGGGGTCCTGCACCATGGCCAAACACAAGCTTTGCAGATTGGGATCGCGGGAAACGTGGCAGCCTCGGCTTTGCTGCTACCGAGGGATTGCGCGAGCGGGTTGCGCTGTGTTCAAGACCCAACAACCAGACCTTCGGCTGTGGAAGCGGTGGGGGCGGCCTCATTGGCCTCATGTCACCCAAGAACCTTCAGTTGATCAGACTATTAGCAGCAATAAGGCATCTGGGCATCCTGCTGCTCATCACTCTCCTGGACTTTTGAGGTTATATGGGGCAGTCCCACATCCCACTGTCAACACGACCATCCTCCGCAGTGTCGCTTGGAGACGGTGTGGCCCTTGCGCTCGAGGGCCTTGCATCACAGAGATTTCAATCCATGGCAGGACCAACTCCTTGACTTTCCCAACCTAGTCGATGTCGGCGTTGTAGGGCTTGCCTGCCAAAGGCTCAAGAATTGGATTGGCTTCTTCATGCGGCATGCGCCGTATCCCCCTTGCAACCTCCCGGAAAGGTCTGCGTGCGGGGTCCATCTTTTGATTGATCCGCTTGACGGATAGAAAGCTTGAACAAGTCTGAAACCCATCTCTAGATAATTAGCAGAGAATTCAAAACCCCCTGGGCTTCTCTTCCTCTCTTTTGTCCTGACCACACACGGTGCCTTGGCACTCTCTTCCAAGTGGACAGCCAGTTTGAGCATCGCCCCCGAAGGACCTGCCACATGCGCAGTGCAGGTGATTTGAGTCACGACCTCTGCAGGTCTTGCCAAAAGCACACCAAAAGCCCTCACGGAGCCTACAATCTTCACAAAGCATGGCCCATTCCTGGCAGCTTTTGTGGCCAGATCTGAAGTCACTGCACTGCCTCCAAGTTATCCAAGCCCTACGAACTTCTCCACTGTCACTTGCATGTCCTTGAAGCTGACAGGTGGCTTGGGTGTAGCCACCCTTCTTTCCTTCCTGACGGTGACAGGTGCGATCAGCGCATAATGGCCACGCCCGAAGCTTTGGTTTCCATGGCTTCTGCTGGTCTCCCAAATTCAACGGAACCTGGTTCATTGGCCTGTTGAGCTGTGATGCCTAATGTATACCAAAGAAGATATGAACTACCTTCCCGAGCAGAAGGGGAAGGGGGGGAGGCGTGGGGGGGGGGGGGGTGTCGTCATCGTGACAACCGATGATATACGCCATGCAGTAAGTGGATACGAGGCATAGCTAAGTGTCATCATGTCATTTGTTTCTGGATTTTCTGCTCCCGACGTGCTGCCATCGAAACTGGTTCTGTCCATTCTCTGTACAGCACGCACTAGCTTTCTAGTACATGCAAGCAGTGAGGCCCGCCCCTGCTTGTGAAAATATGCCAACAGTCTTGTATCTCTCGTTGCCATCGGTGGTTTTACATGCTAAAGGCTTGGTTGGAAACTATGCCGGATGAATGAAGCATGACTGCCGGAATCATAGCGCACCTTCCGAGGTCTCGAAAGTGATCACAGCGCCGTACTCTAGAAGCCGGGACACCTCCGTGACTCAGTCTCAGCGCGTATACAGCCACTGAAAAACCCAGTGTTTTGCGAGATCTTACTGAAATGCAAGACCGGTCCGACCTGGCCCCTGGAGATGCCACCAACCTTTACCCGGACACACGACTACACATATAGACAGACCTCGTGATCAAGATTCCAGGCGAATCACGAATCATCGGCCTGGCCGCTCGGGTTCAACTTCCATGGCCATAAACCTGAAGAGAAACAGCTGCCGCAACGGCTTTGTCTCGTAATTTCCTTGCATCTTTATTCAACCAAACTGGGCTTTGCACAGGACCAGCAGCCACGATGACCCTCCATTGCTTGAAGGGATAAAGCTCAAGGGCCAAGTGCTTTGAACAGCGTTCTTGGTCTGTGCTTCTCTTCTGCTTGACCGTCTGCACCTCCAGTTGATAGGTATGCCACCTACTTATCCCTGACAAGTCTTTCGATCTAATCGATGCCAACAGCCCTACACATGCCTGTGTGTAACGAATACTGCACATTGAATGCAAGATGCTAGCTGTGACATGACATGGGGTCTCCCAAGCACGTAGTCAACCCTGCTTTGCGGTTCCTGAATTTGGGTTGCTAGGGGATGACTTTTCTGCTGGTATCCTGGCTGGTCTGCATTGCTTTTAATTGATGGCGTGCCGAGCAGGCTGGGACGAGTAGCACCCAACGGGTGTCTTGCATGAGACAATTCAGAACCAACGGTCTTCTGTATGGAGCCATCGGGGTTTGCTCTTCAATCAACTACTGCTAATGAGCTGCTAATGCGGTTTCTCTCCATCCTAAACATCGTTGGCGTTCTAGGACAATTCCGGCCACAATCACGCAAGCGTTTCAGCGTGGTCCACGAGTGGGCGCATACGAGATCGGCCTCAGATGTTCATTGGCCTGATGCTTGGACCTCTGATTGGGTCCATGTTACATTGGGTCGACGATCAAGGGGAGGGTTCGGGTTGGGGGATACACCTACATCCTAGCCAGAGGCTCCAAATTTCCAGTTGACAGCCCTCACCTCTTCAGGTTTGGGATGTACGGGGTTCGGGCTGGTATGAAGCAGTCGTGGTGCTATCCCCTGAACCATAATACGTAGCTCTTTTGCAGCCTCTGGGGGTTCTGCTGCATGCAGCGAATTCCACTCACCAGCAATAATTTACATATTTGTTTGCCTGCTTGAACTCACACAATCAAAGGGAACTTTGTCGACCGCACATGTGAACCGTTGAACAAACCCCCATGTCCGCGATACAGGCTTTCGGGCCCATGCCCTGCGGGCCATAAAGGTCCGACCGTCGGTGAAACAGGGCCAGTCGTATTGACGGCACCTGCCACAGGCTCAATGCTGTTGGACATCAAATCACGGACCTCAGCATGCACTCCAGAAAGATCTTCACAGAGTTATAGTGTACAGAGTACTCCATAAAGTTGGAACATGGTTTAAGGATGAGTCTGGCTGGAATCCCCTTTGGTATGCCTTCTCAGGATGTTCCAACTATTTGGAACATACTGTGAGCTAAAACCACTCAGCACTGAGCTCAGCATTTCAAGGACACACACTGCCCCAAACATTCAAGCTCAATCTGTCTCAGTTTAAAATTTACGACCCCCTCAACATCCCGAAAATACCGTCTTTAGGGCTTAGGCAACTTGGGGTTCGGGATGTGGAGCTGGAAGCTCATGACGCTGTAGCTTGGCTTGCCTCTGTTTCCGCTAGCTTGTCTCCTCCATGTCGGTCCCTCGACGCACGTCAGGGTTTCGGTTTAGGGTTGTTCAGCTTCCTCCATTCTGGTTCATTTTTCAAGGGCCGTTGTCGTCAAAAACTGTGTGTGTTTGCAGGGTTTTGCAGGGGACCGACCCATTTTCGCACGCACGCGCGATTCGTCGAGTCCTCATCTCCTCCGCAACGCCTGCCTGCGCCCAAGCGGCAAGCATCAAACTACGGAAACACCGGCCAGCCCTGCGACACCGAAGTTGCAGTTTAGGGATCTCTGGCAGTGCCTTTCGATTCATGGTCTACATGTGGCGCGCTGGCAGTTTCGAAAAAATTGCAGGCACGCAAGCCTCGCCTTCGCGCCTGCGAACTCAGCTGGTGGCAGTCTCGACCATCATGGACCTTCACCACCTCAAGGCTTACAGTGAACGGTAGGGTTTCCGGGTTTCAGGCCCTTTCGCTTTCACTGTGACCTGCAGTTGCCCGAAGGAGTGTAGAACCATACACGCTGAGTCCAGGCAAAAGTTATAGGGATCCTGTAAACGCTCGACCCTGAACGATAATTGACGCACCTGAGCCCAAAAACTATTCCAACTTTCAACGCAACATTTAGTTATCGAGACACCCCAAATCCTAAATACTGAACAACAAGCCTACTGTTGCAAACCTTCGTTAACTTAGGCCATTCTGCAAGGCCCCCCTTCCCCACTCCCTCCACCGAAAAGTTGCGCGGCATGCTGCCCGAGTGAACCCTAAATCCCGAACTCAAGCCCTAAACCATCCCCAGCTCACGCTTCAGGCCTACGCAAGAAGAGTAAGAAACATCGGTGCTGCTCAAATTGACAGACTACTTCCGCACTCCACAATTCTATTGTTTCGTTGTGGGAGAGATTGAAGTCGCCACATCTCAGGAAGTCATAACAACCTAAAACTTGGATTGCGGAATGCGGTATACAGGGCACCGGAAGTGTAGAAACTATAGAATGCGAGTTAATTCGTGTGGCACGCACGAGAGAAATGGGCCACTCGCATGTCGCTTCTGTACAGAACAGCACAAACACCCGCATAAAGCAGCAATTCTGTGTGCAAAAGCACCATGATGAGAAGGATTGTACTGATTGGCTACAGCAGTTCCACGCATGAGTTGCAATGTTGCTGATGCAGGCAGCTAGTATGACACCCTGAGAATGAAATACTATAACAATGAAGAGCCGCCTTCATCAGGTCTAGTGATGGATCCACATTCGTAATCCACCCTGAGAAATGCCACACAGGGGTGGTGTAAACCATACCAAAATGCTGGTTTCATCTGGGTCATTCGTCATCAACTGCATGGTCATCAATTGTGCAGCAAACCAAAATGATCCACACCTTTGACAGCGTTGAGCGGTAAACCATCCATGATTCGTAATTGAGAATTTGAAACCATACACATATGTGTGTAATCATAGAATTTTATCCACCAGCAAACGACCAAGGGAACCCCGTTTCACGCTAATTTACTGCAAACAACCGGGGGATCTTCCAAGTTGCCAATGGACATTCACCACACCCAACATACCCAACTTCAATGGGTGGCAAGGTTTTTTCCGCAACTTCTAGGTCTACATGGCTACCAACTTGATGGAGGCCGTTTCCCACGAGATTTTACCATTGATGCGGAACCCGAGATAGCACAGATGTTGAGTTTGGGGATTTTTACTCATTTGGAAGTGAAGCAGCTGCCATTTGCAAATCCGGAATTGAATCAGCTGCCATTTGCAAATCTGTCAGAAGTCTGGGTTGGGATGGAGTGGGCTGGGGAAATTCAACATGGTGGCCTCAACAGGTGGAACGTGGCTAGATCCACACCAAGAGAGATTTCTACTATCCATGCTCAGGCAATCTCCAATGAGTTGTGCTGAGGAAATGTAACTGGTGTCCAGGCTTGAAAAGAAAAAATGTTCTCAAAAACCTATCGTATCTGGTCATAAAAAAAGAATACCAACATATTGAAAAATATAGCCAAATCATGGTAAACCAGGCCAACACTTCGGTTGATGGACAAAATCCTGCACAACCTAAGGTATGGATGAATAAAGATGTGACAAAGCACCTGCCAAAAGGTGCAGGTTTTTGTCCATCAACAGTATATCATGATATTATGGTATTCGATGGCATCATAATACGATCATTGTACCGTTAATCACTGGCGAATACTGAGCGAGCGGTGATTCATGTATATGGTCCATGGCTTTTACGGGTTGTTAATGATCATATAACAATACGTGGATGAATTTCTTCACCGGTGTTCACTGAACATTCTAAATAAGCGGTATAATTTTTATGGTCATTATAATAAAGATTACTAGCATGGACAAGGTATGGTCAAACCTAGATGCATAAGCCACGGACTCCACAAACGTGTTGAAACCAAAAAAGGCTATGAGTCGCTTCGGATTCTTGGCACCTTCGCCCTACCTGTTCACTCAGCATCGGCGCTGACATCCAACACCCCATGCACAGGTGCCCTAGCTCTGCACCGGTTCCACAAGAGGATGACGCTAGCGTGCCAAACTCCTGACCTCCGAACCAGAACCCCCGTTGCGAAATCATGCTTCCTGCAGAACTTTGATGCAGCCTTGCCGCAAAGATGAGCACTGACAATCGCTGCAAAAAGGCGCACCATGCCGGTCGTCAGTGGCCGCCGTGAAGGCACTCAGCCTCGTCTTTCGATTATGCCATTGCACTGTCGGCTGAAACTGCAAACCTGCACGGAATCCTTCACTTGGCAACCGCTGAACACGCAATCCGAGCACCTGTTGTCGGAGACGTCGCAGCGGTTGTCGTGTCCTTCTGAGGGTATTGGGGCTATGGTCGGCCGTTTTGGAACCCCAGCGACGCAGCGAAACGGCTAGACAAGACAGGCTCTCTGAATGGCTGGCGCCTCTCTTGCAGGCACTCGAAATTTGAAACAAGGCGGCACTTGACTTCCTCTGTCTTGCCAAGGCAAAGTTCTTTGACACATCTTGACACCAAAGCACCCTAACATGGCATGGTTTCAGAAGTTTGGGGGTCTGGGGCAGCCCCACCTGAACACCCTCACAAAGCACAGAAGCAAAACTCCACCATACTCGCGATGAAACTCGCCCCTCAGCCCGATTCCGACTTCGGGGTTCTGGAAGGGACTCCTCCATGCCAACCAGGCCGGAGATCTCCTCCGCAGGCTGCTGCAGACCAAAGGTCCTGAGCTGAAGGGATTGAACAGGGACTTTGGGCCTTGCTGTATAGACTGGTGCTTGGTACTGCAAGAAGGAAGGGCTTCAGTGGCACTGGTGGCACTGTGGAAGTTTTGCAAGGAATCGTTTGGTTGAGGCTGTGCTAGGGCTGCGGTTTCAAAACGGTTCGAGACTCCGAGTTAGGATGCGCCCTGTAAACCCTTCCTTCCCCCCCCCCCCTGAATCGCGTCTTTCCGGTTCTCGGCAGGAATCAACTGCAAGCAACAAGATAAGCTCCAGCAGAAATAAACCGATTCAGCGAAGAAGGGTTCAACTGCACAAGATCTGCAATCGGTTTACGGGTGCCCTCAGATGTCACCCTGGCAACATGACAAAGCTGGTAC